GTTAAAGTTGCATACCAAAATATTCCTCGCTATTTTGTCAGTAATATTGCCGAAGACACTATATACCTAAAATGCAAGGATTTCAAGAAATCATAATTCGATAATTATCAAAATTCTTGAAAAGGGGGAATATTGCCCGGCCTTTTTAGGTTACCTCCCGACGTAAACTTTCAAAACGCCGATACACGTGTCTTCTTTGTTTAGCCCCTCTTTCATAATCTGTTGAAATTTCCCGGTAATTATCAAAAAAAAAAAAAAAAATAAATAAATAAATAAAATAAAATTTGTCGCACAGTGTAATTAAAACTCCTTATACCCTCCACCATGATGTGCACATTTAAAATACATATAAGGAAGATTTGGCACCCAATAAGAACCAAAATATATTGACAGTTTTTGGTAAGAAGATGTGTCCCTCAATAAAAAGTCAACGTACCAAATCACAGCCAATTCGGTCTAAACACGTTCCAAAAATCCTCAAACACCGAATATTTGACCAATATCGATAAGTATTGGTATGAAGATGTGTCACCTAATGAAAATTTAACATACCAAATAATAGTCAATTTGATTGAAAACGTGTCCTAACTCTACATAATATTGAATGATGAGGACCATTTTTTAGGGGGTTTTGCTACCCAATGAAAACTAACAGTATCAAATTATAGGCAATTCCGAAAATACCGAATATTTGAGGCGTACCGTTATATGCGGACTAAACCAAATCTTCTACAGAAGCTAAAATAGTTCGTTTCTCCCGCTCAGTTAACATAGATCTGATAGTCCATCTATGTAAACTGAACAGGAGAAGAACAATAGAATCAATGGATTGGATGTTTTTAATGACTTATTGTATAGAAGAATGACTTCTACCAATAGTCTTAGCAATGTTAAGCAAAGATTTTCGTACATTGCGTAATTTTAGGATAATTCCACGTTCACCAATTTTCTTTTGTTTTTTGACTCATTACGAATTTTAATTCGAGGAAAATAAATTACCTTTGTCCAATCAATTTCAAATTACAATACTCTTTTGTGGAGTCATTTTTTTAACCTTCTGATAAACTAAACATCCATGTATTTTGGAGTCGTGGTATTGTAAAAAGTTGTAGATCTACATATCTTATGTGTATGATATGCTAGGTCTACAATGCCAATTTCCAAGCATTTGTGAATTACACTCTGGAAGTTTCATAAGTATTTTAGAAAATACCAATCCCTCCAAGTAATTTCAATACAATAATTTAAATCAACAATTCGTTGAGTCATTACTGAAATCAAATTAAAAAAAATTCTAATGCACATTTGTATCAATATTTACTTATCATATTGCAACGCCGAATATTGATAAGCTACTATGTTGATTGATATGATATGTTTGTTTGTGTAATGATTCAATTTATATTTAACAGCACGACTACGCTGACCACCTTGTTCACAAGAGAGGCTGAGTTTGTTCTGTAAAATTGTGATCGAAAAAAGATAATAGTTTGTAGTTAATGACGTCAAAAGGAATCAAAAATGTTTACACTTGTCGGTGGTAATCAAAATACTATCAATCAACATATTTTCTTATCACATGAAATACTAATAATTTTAAGGAGTGATACAAATCGAGATTGAGTCATACCATTATCAAATTTAAGAAATGAATCAATCGGGCAGACTTACAAAAACATATATTCGTCAGCAAATATAACATATAAAATATATGTATGTAAATGATTTCAATAAAAAATGTGTATATTTCATGACAGAAGTTATGTAGATTTAATACCTACGTAATCTCAATAAAGGTATATAATTTGATTTAACATTAAGTTTACAGCATTTTATATTATTAATAGTTAAATCTTCTAGAGCTATCTACATTGTTTACTAAAAAAATTGCCAAGTGGTTTGGATGAATAAAGAGTCGAATTTCTTTACTACCGCTTAGTCTTCTTATTTCTTTTTCTACAAATCACTAGAAATTGTACTGGTCCTAACAAACCACAATGCCTTTGTTATAAGTCTCAACATGTTCGATCAGAATCTTTGGATGATATTAACATTTGATTTTCAGGACAAGTTTTGATTTTTAATGCCGATCAAATATCATTCCCCGGTACTTTAAAGTGTTTTGCAGAGGAATTATTTCATTGTTTATGTAGACAGATGAATAATCTCCTCTTCGCGGGGAAAAAGTTATATGAAAGAATTTCTCAGATTTTAGTTTAATGGTCCATCTCATGAACCAATTTCCAAGCATGTGGACAACTATTCGTTGCAACTAGTGCTGTATCATCCAAGTATGTCGATATTGTTACATTTGTAGAAGTTGGCATATCTGCTGTGTAAATAGTAGACGTATAAAATAGGATCAAGTACACTGCCTTGGGGATACCTGCATTTATTTCGGATCCGCAAGATCGTCTAATAGTAATATCGCATTGTAAATATTCGTGTAAGATTTTGTGCAACTTTTGAGTCAATCAAGTCGTGCTCAGACCTACCTCATTTAGAGTAATGTGTCTCACATATTGTTCTAGTCCCAGATCGATAGTCCATGTAAAATGTTGTGTCTATTGAGCAAACGCTGTGTATTTGTTGCCATATTTGCTCTAAATATATAAATCTGAATCGATTACCATACATTATTAAAGAATTCCTTGGGTCAATAGAACGAGTTGCGGATAGTTTGATGCAATCAGACAGACACAGACGGAGATTCAGAAAGTCGGACAGAAAATTAACGAAATTATCAGCAAATGAACAATACAGTTATCGTTAATTATCAATAATTCAGTTACAGAATTTTGACTACAGATTCGAGAATATTTAGAGCAGGTTTTAAACCCTTGAATATTCGATTCTGTAAACATATGAAGTATACTTGCATTTGCATATTATCACATACTATATTTTTGTAGAATGTACATTGATTAAATTTTTATTTAATTTGTCGACGTAGCCCATATAAACTGCACATAGCCATTGTACATAGTTTGGATATTTTATCATAAATTGTGTCATTTTAATTAAATTGAATGAATAAAGATAAAACTATTTTTATATACAATTGCCCAATACAGCAGCAGCAAATTGATTGATTGGAAATTCACATTGTCTGAACGAAAATACCTTAATACAAATTATATATTTTTATATCTGACCAAAAACGAAAACATAAATAGTTGAATGATAAGGCCAGCAGTATTCTGTATTTGCCACGATAACGCTACCATCCTCAAGAACTTTGTACTTACGTCATAAATGGTGAAATCTTGGTCAAATATTTTTGTTTGTTTTCAAACAAAAAATTAAAAAAAAAAAGTTTTGCAGTTCTGTAGTGAAATATGAGGTCGGTGAAAATGAAAGAAGTTTCGTGTTGGATCAAAGTTCACTTTTGTATCTATAATGTTTATCCAATTAGAGAGATAATGTAAACTTATCCATTCAATGGATAAATTTCGAATCAGAATTGTTTGATATCTCAGGGAATTTAGTTCGTTGCAATTATAAATATGAATTTAATATTCATCTGACAATTCAAGGCAACAATTCGCCTCTAAAGAAGAAACTTGTTGTTGGGAAGTGAAGATTTATTTTAATTAATTGTTGTTAATTGTTTAAAACTGATTTGATTTTTATATAATACAATTAATACAAATATATGGAGTTATGGAGTTACGGAGAAATTTATGTTGCACCCAAACGGAAAATTGTTCCACAGCCTCATATGCGATACCACAATTCTTCGGTAAATAGTGATTTAAATAAATAACTGACCGCGTTTATTAGTGACTGAAAATACATTTATAACATGGACATTAAAAATAAATAGAGTATTTTGGTAATCAATATCCTTTCATAGTTCCGTACGTGTTGTAATAGTCCATGCAATTTGAATCCGAGTTTGTTATAATTATAAGTGATATAGCAGTCGGATAATATGGCATTTGTTTACAAATTATCTCTAATTACGCTTATGTCTGCACGTGAAAATGTCCTTATTGGAATTAAAGTCCTTGGCATGCCATCTGGAAAATAATTGCCAATAGCGGCAACCTTACTTGTACAGTACAATACAATAATATGAGTCGTTTAATTTGAGTGGTTTATATATATATATATATATATATATATCGAGTTCACACAATTTTTTTTGTGTTGTAACTAATAGTGAAATTCGATGCAGAATAATTTTGTCTTTGATGAAATACTCCTAAGATGCAGTCTGATTGAAGATTTTGACCCATTTCTTCAAGGTGTTTTATTAACAATTACTGAAGTGAACAAAGGATTTGTTGCCAATATTGTTAATTTTATACTGTAAACTTATAAAAAAAAACATTGAATTTAAATATATAGTTTGTTTTGGGTCTCATAGTGAAATTTGACGTAGAATATTTTATTCTTTGAAACTTTGCACAAAATGAAGTTTCATGTTACTTTCATACAATTAGTTAAAAAAGTAGGCAAATGTCTATGGAAAAATTGCTAATATTTGTTGTATTTGTTATCCTAAATTGATGTCTATATATTCGATATACATATTATATGATGGGGTATATTTTTGTCCTTCATAGCATCCTTCTATAACGAAATCTTGTGGAAAAAATTACTACAAACTCGGAATATGATCGCTTTTACTCAAAAATCGGTTTTGGTCTATTCTGAGACATATAGTAAAACATTATGGCAAACATTTTTATAGAATATTTTGACCTGCTATAACGCCTTTAAAATTAGTTTTCAATAATTTTATATCAGTACCATACACCTAAAATGCAAGAATTTCGAGAAATCTTAATCCGAATATTTTCAAATGTCTTGGAAATGGGAAATATTGCCACGCCTTTTTAGGTTACCTCCCGACGTACATTTTCCATATGTCATACACATGTCTTCTATTTTTAGACCCTCTAAAATATTTTTTTTAGAATTTCCCGATAATTATCAAAAAATTTTAAATTTGTTGCACAGTGTATTTAACGTATTATTATTTTCTATTGCAGCTTTTGGGCATTGGTACAATTGTTGTAAATTGTTTGGCTTTAAACAATTATACCGATGAAGGTCGCATGCTATGCATCTTTTGGATTGTATTAGGTGCTATCGTATTCCTGGTTTCCTTCTTTGGTTGCTGTGGTGCAATTCGTGAAAATATCTGTTTGACATGGTCGGTGAGTATTAACTTTCTCGCATATACACTTGAACTTTATTTAATCGTGTAAATTGGTATTTCTTCCCTAGTATGCCTTCTTCTTGATTTTGTTGATAACCGGTAATGCCATTCTACATTTCGGTTACATTTCTCTCATCGATGGTGAGACGAAAGCTCGCAAGGATATTGATATGGCCTGGCAATTGCAGATGAATGGCACCGATGCCATGTCTCATATTCAAAATACTGTAAATAGAAAATTGAAAAAGACTTTCGAATTATCTTATTAATCGTATCTCTGCTTTCTTATTTTCTTCCAGTTGGCCTGTTGTGGTAAAATGAACTCGACTGATTACACAACTGCCAATGTATCGATACCCGATAGTTGTTACTCGAATGGAAATGTTGGAAATGCCACAGCTATTTATCCCGATGGCTGTTTGTACAAATTAATTGCTGTCTATGAAGCTGCCGAACACTGGATAACCATTTTCAGTTGGTCTACACTCAGTGTAGAGGTAAGTTATTTCTTGGCATGGAATAAAATTGAAAGTATTATAATTTTTTTTTTTGAAATTTGTATCTTTTTAGGCTGTTGCTTTTGTATCGGCTTGTATCTTGGCTATTACATTCCGTAATCAAGAACGTAGATCCAGATATTAAGTTGGAGGGCTAGTTCATGAAACTGAAGATTTTATTACACAACATTTCAAAAGAATTTATATTTATTGCTAAACAAATAGTTTATTTAATACTAGATTGTTGACTTAAATGTAAAGAAAGATTTTTTTATTAATTTTCACAAGAATCCAAAAGACATTCCGATTCGGTGAATTTAAAATATATATATATATATATATTATAATCTTTGGGATTTTGTCTTTTGTCAGATGATATAAATAATATTTGAAAATTATTGTCAGTTGAATCTAAACCATCATCTATCATATGTTTATACTCTACACATATATGTTTATAAGATGCAGAAGAAAACAATATAGATCCATAGTTATTATATTTGATTTAATACGAATCATATTAAAATCGTCCGATTTTAATGAAAATGAGCTCCAAACTATTGACACGAAATTTGGCATAGCCCACTACATAGAGTCTAGAATGAGGTTTCAGGGTTAGGTGCTATATATAGTTTCGTCAGATTTCATTTAAATGGTGCACCAAAGGCACTAAGTCTGTTCGGTCGATTCACCATTTTGCATAGTATATAAATTTGGATATATATATATATATATATATATATATATATATTATCAAGTTTCATATAAATTATGTTCCAAGCACAAGCGCGTCTGTGCAATTGACACGAAATACATTTTCGAATTGAGTTCGTCCGCCCGTATGTGGAAATCACCTCTTAAATCAAACTTTTGAAGTGTTTGGACACTTTAAAAATATCGCTGTAATTATATATTTTGTACAAAATTTCTCTACAAAAAATGATCAATAATATCCCAAATTTTGGGTTAGCACTCATATTTTGGGTTAGCACTCATATTATGTTCATGTTTTTTAAATGAATAGGTTCTAATATGACATATTTTTATTTTCTCATTTTATTTTTCTTACTAACAAGTAAATACGATGTTCGGGGCGGTCGAACTTTTATACTCTCCACAATGAGGATAGCAATCAAAATATTTATACTTAAAAAAGTGGGCTTTCGTTATATGGGATATAATAAAACAGAGATTAATATTGATATTTTTGGTAGTGAGATTTGGGAGCCAATGAGAATACAAAATAACAAATTGCAAATCGTGTCCACAATTCTAAAACCAGTGAGCGGAGCAGTATAGTCGGACGGATCCGACCATATGATACCCTACACAACTACCACGAAAATCAAACTTTCTGCGATTCTATATTTTGAGCCTGGGCAACATTTCGTGATATTTGCACTCTTTTTACCGATTATAGATTAACAACTCCACTTTCCAACCCTGGCATATTTTCCATTTTTTTTATTGAAGTGAATTTTTACGCCATAAAATACAAAAATTGGTCACTTTAGGTTTTGGTCAGGGACCGTAACGGTTATAACTTATATCAAATCAGGTAAAAAATAAAATAAAAAAATCCACTTTAATTATTTATTTTTTAACGGAAAAAAATAATAAAAGTCTTTTTGTGATTTTTATTTTTTCCGTCAGGAAATAAAAGTCTTTTTACGTAAATAAACATATAGAGTTTGGTACCAGTTATATAACCTTTGACCTAATAGTCAGGGTAATGATTCTTTAATTTATATGCATGATTTGGTACACTAGACTAGTTTTTAAAAATTTATAACAAATATTTTTTACCTTTGATCTTGATTACTTATGTGTACACTTATTGTAATAAGGACAGAGATTTAAAAATTGTAATTTTATAACTGATTACAAGTTGTATAAACTTCTTTACATAAAAAGAGTTTTATTTCCTGACGGAAAAAATAAAAATCCCAAAAAGACTTTTATTTTCTGACGGAAAAAATAAAAGTCCCAAAAAAACTGTTATTTTTGACGGAAAAAATAAAAGTTCAAAAAAGACTTTTATTTTTGACGGAAAAAATAAAAATCCCAAAAAGACTTTTATTTTTGACGGAAAAAATAAAAATCATTTTTAACAGTTAAAAATCAACGTTTATTTTTTCCGTTAAAAAATAATCCTTAACATGGGAACTGAGAGTGTTTTCTCAAGATCACTCAATATCCTTAATGGGCTCCTCAACACGAATCTATTGGTATATGACACTATTGGTGTCCCATGTCTCTAACATGAAGATTTTTTTGTTCGCATTTTAAAAAATAACTGTTATTTTCGGTCCCTGGTTTTGGTTGATTTGACACTCGCAATATTGACCGATCATCATCTATACAGCCGCTCTAAGTATTTGGTCAGATCCCCTTCACCTTGTAAAATATGTGATGTTCTGCATATAATAATTGCCTCTAGAGCGAGTAGAAAACCTGAATGAAATCTCAACTTCATCGAAAACTATAGACGTAGTCTTTGACCATAATCGGAACTTCATGTACAATTTCAAAGCGATCAGCGCGACATTTCCGTCCTCTAATGGAGTAATAGTAATACTATGCACATAGTCACCTTTACCTAATTACGTATAACTCCCACATTAGAGTACATACAGCCATATAATTGAAGGTCAATTTGAAGGTCAACAAATCCTCTTGGATATACTATCAACCACTCGGTCATATGTCCTTCAGGAGCAAGTATATACGCCCCAGAATAAAAATTTTGTAATTTTTAACACAAAAGTCAGGATCCATTTGATCTGCTAAATATTGACCGATCTTTATCATGCATGCTTATTCTTTGGCCCGATCCCCTTCTCCATGTAAAATTTCACGATAACTGCGGCCTCTGCAGCGCCCATAAAAACCGACAAAAATTAAGTATTTGGTTCATTTTATCCTCTAAATATTAAACGATCTTTACCAAAAACAATAGAGGTCTTCATTGACCAAAACCCATCCTACATGCAAAATTTCGTGAAGATTGGTGCATAACTGTGGCCTGTATCGTGTTTACAAATTATAATGGACAGACGGACGGACGGACACACATGTCTAGGACCAATATTTCGCGGCGTTACTAACTATTGGGGCTGCACAAAGCTATAATACCCTGACAACATAGTTGTGTAGGGTATAAATACCAATTCGAATCAATATTAACTCTACGGTCAATAACCGGGTACATTTGCACCTTTTTTTGAATAAAAATGCTGTAAAATTTTTAATAATGGAGATATTTGGATCAAATTTCGAGGAATCATTCTTGAGATATTTTCACACATAATCGAAGAAAAAAATTATAAATATTTTCCATATATATAATTTTTACAATTTTTTAAAGTTATTACCTACGTAGATCAATAACCGTGGTACATTTGAACCCATCCAAAGGCAGCTCTGTAACTCATTAAAAAAATGGACTATCGTTAGGTTTTTTGTTTTAAATTAGTCTATACGGATCTGATCTAGATGTAGGAACTCAAAATTATGTATACATTAAAATAATATATATTTAAATCCATGCTTAAATGATAATCTATCTAAAACAATCATAGTAAATCCGTTATAGCTTTCGATTGGGTTAAGTTTTTTTAGTTATTTCTTTATTGGGACCTTATTTAGGTGTTCCTCAAACCCTCTGCAAATTTTTGTGGCCCTAGACAACATGGGCCCATCAGAGCGACTCGTGGAAGTCAGAAACTACCCTGGTTTTCCCTTGGTATACAGGGACAAAAACAATGATTATTGTCTGTAATTATCCAATTATTCTTCATATTGGGCCTGAAACTTTTTCTATAATCGAATTAGTCTGATTTATTACAATCCTAAATTGGTGTAAATATATAAACTATCATTAAATAACGTTTTAAAGTATTAAATAATGTTAAAAATACGCCAATCACAATCTCTAAACTCATAAAATCTGAATAATTGACATTAATAATTGTTTTAGTCCCTCTATACCAAAGGAAAAACAGGGAGTTTCTGACTTCCACGAGTCGCCCTGATGGCCCCATGTTGTCTAGGGCCACAAAAATTTGCAGAGGGGTTGAGGAACACCTAAATAAGATCCCAATAAAGTAACTAAAAAAGCTAAACCCATTCGAAAGCTATAATGAATTTACTATGATTGTTTTAGATAGATTATCATTTAAGCATGGATTTAAATATATTTTATTTTAATGTATATACAATGTCGAGTTCCTACATCTACACCAGATCCGCATAGACTAATATAAAACAAAAAAACTCATGATTGTCCAATTTTTTAATGAGTTACAGAGCTATCTTTGGATGGGTACAAATGTACCACGGTTATTGATCTACGTATACTTTTTTGGTTATTGACCGTAGGGTTAATAATTTTTATTGCGTTTTGACGTTTCAAAAATCCCCTTATTGGGGGCTACATTTTAACGTGGGTCAATATTAAAAAAAAATTAAGTACGGGTGTGTGTTATTAAATGAGAAACCAAAATGCGTATCTAAAATCCCCAAAATACTTAGTATTGGGGAGTTACCTTACCTGAAAATTGTGTCAATATGAATAGTTTTTGGTACGGTTATGTATTATTCAATGAGAACCCAAAATTCCAATGAGTACTAGCCTATGAGTACTAGCAATGTCTGTGAAATTTTAGAGCTGTATCTTAAATATTTCGATCTCTATCGTGAATTCAACAGATCGATCGGAAATCGAAGTAGAATTTTATTTTGATCAGGAATATACTTTGTGAATATTTTTAGGTGTTGCAAACGGAATGACAAATTTAATATACACTCCACCTTATGGTGAAGGGTATACAAAATTGCCATGATTAGGCAATTAATGGTACTACTAATTATGAATATGTTGATGATTTCAGACATGTTTTTGAAATGAGTTGATTTCTCAATGCTCCGTTATAGATATTTTGATGGTCATAGGCACATTTTCCAAATTGAAGTTATTATATTTTTCCTTGAATTTGACGTTCCGAAACGTCGGTGGATGAAAACTAGTTCACAGAACATTTTGAATTTGAGTCCATGTTTTCAGTATGTTCAAGATTCTAGCACAACTTTCCATATTGTGGTGTATCAGTAGTTTGGCAGTTTAAATTAAATCCCATGACATAGGCCATAGG